TGGCACTGCCCTTCTTGGGGATTGGGATGTAGACTGATCTTTTCCCGTCCTCTGGCCACTGCTGACTTTTCCAAACTTGCTGGGATATTGAGTGTAGCACTTTTAACAGCGTCATCTTTTAAGATGCTAAATAGTTCAACTGGAATGCCATCACCTCCACTGGCCTTGTTGTTAGCCATGCTTTCCAAGGCCCACTTGACTTCCCTCTCCGGGATGCCTGGCTCAAGGTCAGCAACCACACTATCTAGGTTGTCCGGGACATCCAGATCATTCTGGCATAATTCCTCTGTGTATGATTGCCACCTCTTCTTGATGTCTTCTGCTTCTGTGAGGTCCCTATCATTTTTGTCCTTTATCATGTCCATCTTTGCACAAAATGTTCCTTTAATATCTCCAATTTTCTTGAACAGATCTCTGGTTTTTCTCTTCCTATTATTTTCCTCTATATCTTTGCACTTAAGATGTACTGGCTACTATATTAAAGAAACAGTTGTTTTCCAAAACATTTCATTTTTAAAATCAGTTTTCATAATCTTACCTTACACAAAACTTCAACAGGAGTAGACATCTTCTTTTCACTAATCTTTTCATATTTCTGCTTCTTTGTTGCAGCCTGAAGAACACAGAAATCAATTTCAGATTACACTAAGATTCTTACAATATTACAGACAGAGCTTTGAACCTCGCTTATTCATATTAGGTTTTGCTAACTGAACAAAAATCAGTCTGGTATTAAATTTTTGAATACAGTTGAATGCCATCTACTGCACCCAAAAGCCTTTTCATTACAGTATATGGTTATCTTACGTAGCAGACATCTGATAATTTTGCCCATTAAATCATATAACTAAATACAATAATTTTCTGGTATATCTCTTGAAACGTTGTTGTCTTAGTCTGTATCTGAAAAACTAACATTTCCAACATAAACTGCCACAACTGTGACTGCATCATCCACCTTGTGAGAGACCTAACTGACATCATCCAACACATTTTTACCACAAAGACTAACAATTTAATTCAGTGCGTTCTTTGGTGGATTAAGGTCCACTTTCTCAGATACAGCAAGGAAGCTCACAATGAAACAAAATTGCTAGCCTTTTAAGTGCTACAATATTTTGCTTCTTTGGGATTTTTCTTTACTTTTATTTCACCAACATCTCAATTAGACTAACATGACTACAATCTTTGGATACTTTTCATTTTACTTTTTATACTGCTTTGGACATATATACCTCTATGAAATCCTAATGTAACCATACCTTAACACTTAATATCTATATATACCCAAATATAGAAAACACCCTGGTTTTTTATTTTCAATGCAAAGCTTATTTCTGAAAGTAGCTGTATTCATCTAAATCATGTAGATTATATATTGGTATTGGGGCAAATGGAAAGTGACAGGTGTACAGCACAGTGCCCTGTAGAACCCTCTACAACTCTTGAAACAGATTAGAAACATTTGGTAAATTTTCAAGACATACCTTTAAACCTTGCCACGGTAGGCTAGTTCTGTTGAAGTACATCAACACATACCCTAGTGACTCCATATCATCACGACGACTGTGGGAAAAGAGGCAGTTTTATAAGAATATGCTTAAAACGCACACTAACATTTGAGGTCTCAAGGTCTGAGTCATTTTTTCAGAACAGATTTTGCAATATGCTTGAATTTTAATATACTCAAGGATTACAAGAAAGTAATTAACTCAGCACAGTAAAGTAACAAGTACGTGATGATCCAGTCTCACATCATTTTAAGTAAAGGAGGAATGAGATACACATTTATCCATCTGGGTCCTTTCACAATTGATTCCAGCAAAGATCAACCACAGCACTGACATAAGATTTAGGTTGTGAGCAAAGTTCATTACTGTTGATGATTCATGGAGATCTGCTAAGCTTTAAAGGGCATTACTCAGCCATCCTTCTAGAAAGAATGCTGAAACTAATTATGGGATTTGAAGAACACGACTGGCTTTATACAAAGTACTACTGAATGAAGAAACGTTTTCCCCATTCAAATAATCCTTCAATGAAGATTTAACAGACATAGGCAAACACACAAACCCAATAAACTAGCAACACAATGGCTAGAATCCGACTGGTAAATTACATTATCTTAAGTGCAGCGCCAAATTATGGCTAACGAATCACCACTTGTACTCCTCTGCATGCCAGTCATGAGTTAGTGTATGATGAGAGATACAAGCAGCAACTTCTTAACTAACTGCAACTGCTGCCATTTCACTTATGCCAGTGTAACTAACCAATATTATTTTATCCACTATTATATCAAGGTGAATAGAATGTAGAATCTCTTCCATGAGCCACCAGGGCAGGAGGAAATTCATTTTTTACTTGCAAAGTGTGTACAGTGGTGCCTCGCTTAGCAACGTTAATCCGTGCAGGAAAAAACGTTGCTAAGCGATTTCATCGCTAAACGGAATTAAAAAGCCCATAGAAACGCATTAAAACGCCATTAATGCATTCCTATGGCCTTCACAACTAACCTTAAAGTGAAGATCCTCCATAGGGGCGGCCATTTTCGGTGCCTCTAAAGCGAGGACACACAGCAGGTGGCCATTTTGTTTACCCGGCGGCCATTTTGAAACCGCCGATCAGCTGGCCAAAAATGGGGGCTTTGCGATGATTGCTTCCCTGCAATCATTGCAAAGCGAATTTTCCCCATAGGGACCATTGCTAAGCAATCACTTTTGGGATCGCTTAAACTCCATCGCTAAGTGATTTCGTCGCTCAACGGAGCGATCGCTAAGCGAGGCACCACTGTATTTTTGATTTGTCTATTATATTTATATTTTTCAACTTATCTTTAAAAATTCATATCCAAGTTCACTGAAATTGTTGGGAAGGGGAATTTCCATCTGAACAACTACCATTATAGGAACAAGGTCTCAAATATTTACTACGTCTAGTATTATGTCAAGTGAATGGACACCTACCTCTGTTCAATGCCAAGGTGAGCATTAATGCTAGCGTATCTGGCTGTACCAGTGAGATTTTTGTCTTCTCTATATGGTATGTGTTGCCTTGTCCTGTTGTCCCGGTACTTTTTGGCCAACCCAAAGTCAATAAGGAATAACTTTTGGGGGGAAAAAATGAAGCAGGTTAAAGTTTCCATGCAACATACAGAAAGTATACCCATGTATTTCAAGTACAGATTCATTAGGAACTTAAGATCTAAAAATGCAAAGTATGACTGTAATTAAAGACAAGGAAAGCACAAAACTGGTTCAAGCATAAAATATGCAAACATTCTTCAATCACACCCATTAAGGAGACTTAAGAATGTTTAAATACATTAAATGACAGTAAACTTTAACATTTTCCTACGGTATGAGTGTAATTTGACAAATGGGCTGCCTAATCAAGTAAAAAAGCCAGGGTGACGCCCCACCTAACTATAATTCCACATTTTTGTGAGACTATGATAAATATCATCATATAGGTCATAAATCAAACAAAAACAGGTCTGTTTTTAAAAAAACGATAACACCTGACAAATATACTAGTACAAATGCAATTTGGTTTTTCTTCTTAAAAAAAAAACAGATTCAAAATAGTTGCCTTTTTAAACTTACTGATGCCTAAGTATCTTGGACTGACAAGTACAGAACCAAGAATAAGAAGGGCAGAATCAAAAGGTCAAAACAAAAATAATCAAACAAAAAACCAGATATGTTTATGCTGTGAGTGGAAACTACCTAATCATTCATCACAAATAGATGACTAGAAATAGCCATGAAAGCACTGAATGAATAGTAGATTCAAATAAAAAGACAGTCAGTAACTTTTCACTGCTCTTGGATAATACTCTGAATGTTCATATTTTACCATCTTAAATTTCAAATATGCCATGACTTGACTGCCTTGCTCATATGTGATTTGTTAATTTTTTTCCAAAGATGCACATTAAATTATATAGTTGAAAGTCTATTATTTCTAACTTCTGCTAGAGTAGGGTATTACTGATACTTTCTTCTTCATTTAAGCACTAAGAGACAATTTCAGAAAACAATTGGGACTGTTTAGGCTTACTATATTTCTTACATATCTTTTCCTGGAAAAGGCTCAAAGCACCTTAAAATAGGCTATTTTCTCCTCTTTACAGAATTATAAATACAGAAATTGCAATGGCTCCATTCCTACAGGAAGCTTTTTTAAAAAAAGACAAACTAGATCTTCCGATACAAATCTCATTCTTTAAAACTGCATCTGTTTAAATGGATCTACAGACTATTAAGGTTTCTGCCAATTAAAACTAGTTAGCCTTTAAAATCAAAAGACACTTCACCATTCTTTTTAAAAAAAACTTTAAAGGTTAATGTACTGGTGTCTGATAGACTGGAATATTAGACACTGCACACATAACAATATGTGCTTTTCTGTTATGAAGAGCGTCAGGAAAGGAAGTTACCAGAGAAGGGAGAAAGGTCCCTTTTAAGTCAAGGTGTTTCAGCTGCAACTCCAAAAGATAACAATAGGCTAAGCAAGACACAATTTTATTCACAAAATACACAACTGCATGAAAGGGATGGACTTAAATTTATAGTATCAACTTAAGCATCTTAAATGTCTTGTTGCAATCTAGTCTAGATCAGAATCTCCACCATACATACACCTATTACAGTGGTGCCCCGCATAGCGACGCTATACGGAAACATCGCTGAACGGAACAAAAAACCCCATAGGAACGAACTAAACCCTGTTTAATTCATTCCTATGGGGCAAAAACTCACAGTTCAGCGAAGATCCTCCATAGGGCTGCCATTTTCGCTGCCTCGGTAAGCGAGGCACGAAACGGGCGGCCATTTTGGAACCACTTATCAGCTGGGCGGCGGGCTCTCGGGAAGGAGTGCGGGGACCTCCTCCACTCTCCTTCCAAAGCGCCACCTGGCCTTTCCCCCCAGCTGGGCGGCGGGCTCTCGGGAAGGAGTGCGGGGACCTCCTCCACTCTCCTTCCCAAGCGCCGGCCGGCCTTTCCCCCAGCTGGGCGGTGGGCTCAAGCGGCGGCAGCGGCTGCAGGGTGGAGGGGTGTCCCGAAGGCTTCCGGGCAAAGGCCAGGACGCCTTTGGGAC